GGAAAAAATGAAGATCTGAACACTCAATTTGCGCTTTTGTTTTCATATTTTGTAATCTGGCAATCTTTCTGCGAAAACTTTTTTAAATCATTCTTGAAAAATTTCCCGTCCATGTAAGTTAATCTTATTGCGCCACTCGCTTTATAGTCCATTTTTATACTGTTTTTTCTTTTTATTTTATTTTATCTTCTGCTTTTACATGTTATTTTTACTTATTTTTACTTTTTGTGTTCTATTTTATTTGTTGTAATTTTTATAAAAAAAATTTTTGAGTGCTCCTCTCACTATTGTATCAATATATTTTGCTTTGGCTTTATTGATACAATATCAGAAAGCACTCTGTTTTGCGGATATAATCGTGTGGGCTGATGAAGAGATTATATCTTTTTTTTCCGGTTTTTTAAATAAAATTTCCTCCTTTTTTTTTAAACTGTTGTTTCTTATTTTTTTACTTATTATTTCCCCCCTCCCTTTTTTTTCATATGTATATAATTTTTCTTCGTTTTATTCTTCATTTTGAACTTATGTATGTATATATATATGTATATATATATATATATACAGTCAAACCCCGCTGTAGTGAGCACGGTTTATAGTGAACTCCCGGATATAGTGAACGAAATGCTCGGTCCCGTGCCTTGCTATACACGTAAAATGTTATTTTTTGTGGATATAGTGAACCAAAAAAGTGAGGAAGTTGGATATAATGAACTTTTTTCTGTCTCCGACTGATTTTTTTTCTTCATTTTTCTTGTAATAATTTTAAAATTTCTACTTCAAAATAAATACATATAACAATGTTTAAAACCATCTATAGAGGGGAATGTAGCGATAAGCATTTTTTCTTGATTGCTTCTTTTATCTCACTTTCCAATCCCTAAACAAACTAAGCAGATGTTTCCAACCCAGGCAGTTGATGCACCTGTAAGATGTCAGTGGGATCAATATGCATTTTCTGTCTGAGGGAATGAGTAATTATTCATTATTGGTCAAAGGGTTGGACACTAATATGTGTTGATAAGTCCCTCATTTCAACTCCTTTTTGTTCTCAGTTCAGTTAAGAAAAAGTCTGAAAACAAGTGTCTCAAATTTAACTATGGTGAGCAGTAAACGTAAAACGTTCTCCATTGATGATAAAATGGGCACAATCAGAAAAATTGAAAATGGATGCAATCAAGTTGATATTTGCTCGGAATATAAAGTATCCAAATCTTCAGTTCGTAACATATGGAAAAATAGGCAATTAATAATTTCTGCTCATGAAAAAAAGTTATAGGGCAGAAGAAAGTTGAAAAAAGCAGATCACAAGGATGTTGAAGAAGCATTACTGAAGAAGTTCACCATTCGAAGAAGCCGCAATCTCCCAGTATCTGGAGAAATGTCGATGAATTTGCTAAGCGATTTTATGAGACTACTTTTATAAGCTCGAATGACAGTTTAGACAGGTTTAAAAAGCGGAATAACAGAAATTCAGGAAAAATTATCTGAGAGTCAAGAAGTGTTTCCATATCTGATGTTGGGGATTACTCATCTGCTAAAAATTAATTTTTTTTTTTTTGCACGCAAGACGAAGAGTAATGAAAAATAACACCTTTTTTGCTACTACATAATATTTTCCAGTCATTTATTTGAATAATGTGTAATAAAAGGGAGGAGTTTGGGAACCGTTAGTTAAATTGCCTGCGTAACGGATATAGTGAACTCCCGGTTATAGTGAACCAAATTTTCAGTCCCTTGAAGATTCACTATAGCGGGGTTTGACTGTATATATATATAAATTTGCCCAATTGAAATTAATTTACCATTTGTTCATGTTTACAATCAATAATATTATAATATCTTAAAAAACTGAAAAACTTGTAGTAAAAACTAAATAGAAAAATTACCAGGAAACTCAAACGCATGAATTTGAATAACACATCCAAGTTTAAAGGAGACTGAGCACCAGGCATTACTTCTCTAAAAGAAAATAGGCTTTATTAAGTAATGATAAACAAAAAAAAAGATTAAAAAAAGCGAAGAAGAAAATAAAAGATTTAACAAACTTCCAACGTCTCTCTGCAGGTGGCATAGCACTTCGGAATTTTTAACTAAACGAATTTTTTAGTTGTCACGTATACAGTTTGTTTTACATTAAAAATTTAAAAAAAAAATACAATATTCAGCTGTTTATGTGTTAGAAATGAATTAGTAATGAACACGATCAAATAGTACGATAGCAACTCTAAATTCAACCATAAACACAAGCCTGCCAACTACTACGCTTTTAAAGAAATGTTTTATAGAGTAATAGACATTTAAATTCCAAAGCTTTCAAAATTTTTGGCAATTTAGCCAACATATTAAGAGCCTCAAAACGAGAAAGCTGGAACAAGTGCAGAGATGCCAACTAGCTCCGGACAGTAAATATATATTTTCGAGTGGTAGTTTATTAATGTGTATTTTTTGGTTTAATAAATTCAATTGATAAAGTTTTTATACACCACTATTTCTACATAAATTGAAAGTTTATATAATTCGCCACTTTGTTAAAGCTAAGTCATGCTACACAATGTAAGCACAATTAATCTAATATTTGTAAATTTGAATTAAGTTGTTTACCGTTTTTTAAATTGTTATGGCCATCTCTGCAAGTGGTGTAACATATAAACCTTTAATTCATTTACATGTGGTTTTGTGGAAACTAAGTTTAAATGAATAAAAAATTATACATTATAACATAAACTTAGCTACCACTAGAATCAATTTTTATACAGAGCGTAAAAATTTGGCAACGTAGCAAACAGCGCACGCAGCTGAAAACAAATGTACAAATATACTTTAACTCTGTGCTGTTTAAAGAATACTGGTTGCTAAGAAAAGGTGTGATAATATGATATTCATCAGAGATGTCAGCTTGCTCCGGGCAGAGGATAAATACTTTCGAGTGGTAGTCTTCTGTAATATAAAATGGATACTTATTTCATAAATATTTGAAAATTTAAAAATTAGTTTAGATACCATACCCAACGTTCGCCACAGTAAAGAATTCATCTTCAATTCTCAAATGTGCATCCATTTCGTGATCGATTTCATAGTCAGTTTCTCCAAATCCGCTGGTTACTGGTCGAGACTATTGATTCAAAACACGTTCGTACGTTAAACAAGCATAAATTACAACTAGTAAAAAAAATGTAAATTTTATTTATGATTACTAAAAGCTTTACATTTTCATTTAGGCGCCTGATCAAAGCCTCCTATAACTCAGTCTCCACACAGTTTTTTATAGGTAGTCCAATCAGACCACTATGAAGGTAAACTAGTTTACGAAAGAGCCATTCGATAGAAAATCTATTAAAAATTAGAAAGTGGTTGCAAATGCATGTCTAAAAATTTTTTTAATTTATGAATATGATTGGTTTGCGATATTTACTTGTCAACCACTACAGATTCAATTTTCAAATATATATCATAGATTTCTCTCAAGTTCTTTTAAAAATTTCACCATTCATTTGCGCTTCGGCGATATATTATTTATTCCCACTCAGATGAATAAGTTAGAGCCCCTGGCGGGGCCGATGCTAAGATAACCACCACGTATGAGTATGAGTTCTTTTAAAATAGAATTTGGGTTCATGCGCACAACTGGTTGGCTTTTTAAATAATCAGCGCAGACTACTTATAAAGTCACTTGTGGAGGTTTTCTGATGTAGGAGGTGATGACCTGATACCAAGAAAGTGACAATTAATTGTTATTTCATAGCTACCAATGCATTTGGAGTTTCGTGCGAGATTTTAATATTATATTTAAAGTCAGTTGGGATTTAGCAATAAAGTCATTTCATTTGTTTGATATTACCACAACAACATGTGAATAAAATTAAACATTGATATACATGAATGATGATCGTAGTATGATGTGTTAAGGCTCTAGCAAAATGTAAAAATATTTTTTGTTCATAAATTATCTTTACTTTCTCATTTTACTGCCATTTACAAAAACCAGTTTTGGAAAACAAAAAATTGGCAAGAATGTTATTTGTTTAACTATTAAACCAATTTTCTTACGTAATATATTTTTCTAAAATGTAAGCTTTTATATGTGAATTTAGTTACATAAACATTATCAAATTAATAATAATTGATAATTAATGTAATGAAATAAACTTATTGATAACAAATAAAGCTGGATCCAGCAAAACACTGCAACTTTAATTTATAAGCAACAATTAATCCTAGGAAATAAAAGTAAAGTTTTAGCAAAACATATTTTTTTTTAATTAAATGCAGAAGCACTCACACAGTTTTTGTGGCAATTTTTTTAAACACCTAATATTTATGTTCTAGAACCATTTAGTAATACAATTATTTTTTTAAAAAATAAAGAAGCACATATGAAATATTTTGAATTCATTTAAGCAAAACTAATTCTAAATGTGCAGTGCGCAAAATGAAAACGAACCATCCTGAATAACTTTTGATCTAATGATCGCGTTCTAGGACTCAATCTTAAAGGTTCAAACGGGTGACCTCAAATATGCTAGTTAATTACTGCAGACAATATTTTAAGCTATGAAATCAGACACTAAAACATGGATGAAAGCCCTTATATAGCAAGACGGAAAAGTGCAAAAACTGGTATGAAAGACATATCATTTTAGCATTTTTTTCGAGAAAAATAAAATATTTGTAACTATCAAGATTTCTTTTATAATGTTAGTCTATATATGAAACTGGTTATTTTCCAAGGTTAATGTAGATATTGTTGAATAGTTTGAAAAAGAATTAGTTAACTCCTCCCGGAAACTAGTTATAACCGAAATGGTTTTACTACCAGCCATTCCTCTTTTCCGTCTCGCTTTCACCCATGCACTAAAACGTACTTTCATTGAGGAAATATATATTTTTTTCGACAGATTCAGATTTCTAAACTTCAAAATACAGAGAGCAGTTGCAATCTTTGAAAAATTGTCTCCGTCTGATCAGGAGAGCGGTCCAAAGTTTGAACCCCTTAATGTTAATTTTATCTTTTGCATATTTCGCCATATATCTAGAACCTTTAAAGTGAATTGAAAAAATTTTGACACAAATATAAAATTCGTGTATCCAAAGATAATTCAATGCGAAATATAACTTTTAGAAAATATTTATGATTTTTTATAATTTTATTTATTAATAGCTATAATTTTATTCATTAATAGTTATTTATTAATAGTTATTAATTAAAAATTTTAATTGTAAGGTATACAATGTTTTACATCATTTTAAATAATTCAATGTTTATTGGCAAAATACAAAATTTGAGCAAAATCGGTTGAATAGTTCCTGAGAAACCATCTTTTAAAAAAAAACGACTTATTTAAAATTTGATTTCTCGCAAACTATTCGACCAATTTCGCCCAAATTTTATATTGTACCGTTTGAAATTACATTCTTTTAAATGATGAAAGAAATTTTATACCTTACAGCTCAAAATATTTTCGACTTATTATTAAATAAAATTATAAATATTTTCTAAAAATTGTACTTTACCTGGAATTGTCTTTGGATAAACGATTTGCAAACATTTCTCAATTCGCTTAAAAAGTTCTCAAGATGCTGGTGACCAAACTCTATTAATTTTCTCTCGTGACCAAACTATTAGGACCATATTTCCCAGATTGCGGCTCCCTCCTATATTTTGGGAGTTCAAAAATCCGAATCCGTCAAAAAAGGTATGCTTATTCTGAGAAAAAGCTTTTTTATGTCTGATTTCGTAATTTAAAATATCGTCTACACTAATTAATTAGCATATTTGAGTTATCCCCTTGAACCATTGAGTCCCAGATCGTAAAAATCCGATTAGATCAAGAGTTAATCAGGGTGGTCCATTTCTTATTTTGCGCACTGAACCGGACATATTTCATTATTTTAAAACAAAATAAAGAGATAGCACTTTTGATATGAAGTATGCAGAATTTATTTAAAAGAAACTAAAAGCTAAATGCCTTATACATGTATTAGGAGGCTCCGCCCCCTGCTCGCTAACGCTCGCCAACCCCCGAGAATTGCTACGCAATGCTATGTGATTCACGCCGTGAACCATGGCTTGCTGCGCTCGCTCGCCAATGAACACAATGCTCTAGCACAAAGACATAGCATATTATCATCAAAGACATAGTATTTTATCATCAAAGACATAGTATTGTACTTATGTAGAAGAGTTCTATCAATCTTCTTATTGGCTTTTAAAAAAGTATAATAGCTATTTAGATTGTACATGGTGAAAAAAGCAAAACATTAGCTAAATGAGAAACATATTAGCAAAATAAATTATCAAATATAGCAGTTACTCACCTAAATTCAACTAAATGTGTATAATAAATTAGTTAATGCTAGAAATTCTGAAAGCTTTAGAAAAAAAATTTATTATTTAAAAATATAAACTTTGAACCCTAACTTTTCCTTGTGAGATAATAACCCTCAAAAAGTCTTTCATTTTCAAGAACACAAAAATTTGTTTTATCGCCAAATGAAATATTTTTTAGTGATCTGCATTATTGAAATCGATTTCTATATTAATTAACATTTGTGATAAAGTACATAACATTTTAGAACAAAATAAGGATGTCTTACATACAATAAATTAAAATGCATGGCTGTTAGCATTACCCGAGAAATACTGCGTGGAGGTCGTCATGCTGCATTTCTAATCGGGGAGTTTTGATTTTGGCAGTTCCCCTTGCCTAATGCCAATAGAAGTTTCAATTAATTTTTTTCCAAAAAACATTTTTTTCTGCTAAGCTCTAAGAAATTAACGCTAAGCATTTAGAATTTCTTTAAAAACACAATTGTAGATTTGGCATCTTGGAGCAATTACTGAATGGCTGTCAAATGACTTAACTCTTGACAGGCCAACATAAAGTTGTCCATGACTAAAAACTTGTTTAGTCAATACTAAACTGATTTTCTCAAAAGTCTGACCTTGTGACTTATTTATAGTCATGGAGAAGGCCAGCCTAATTAATTCCTAATTGAGTTTAAATTAAATATTATCATGTTTTTAGGGCATGAATCTGAATTGTACAACCTGATGATGCTCACTCTGGTTATTGTTTTTTAAAAGCGCTATATGTTGAGCCACCTCATGTGATATTTGCCATGTGACATTTTTAGCAGCAATCATTGGTCGATTTTCTAACGTTGCCATTCGGGGCGTTGTAATGAGGCTTTTTTTGGTGCCATGTAAGAGAAATATATATATATAGATTACAGAGATGCCAGCTCCTTCGGACACGCCAAATAATTAAAAAAAACGGTACATAACTACAAAGTAAATTTTACAAATATTTGACTATTTTTGCTTGTTTTTTAAAAGGCGTGTGCGTAGCATGACGTAAGTACTCATACTCGTACTCATATGTGATGGTTATCTTAGCATCAGCCCCTCTAGGGGCTCTAACTAATTCATCTGAGTGGAAATAAATAATAAATCGCCGGTGCGCAACTGAAAGGTGAAAGTTGGGGTTCAGTATCTTTTACTGAGAGAAAATTAAAATGAAGTAGTGAGATTGAACAAACAAGTTTAAGAGAGAGAATAGGTTTTGTGGCAGACTGCCTCTCCACAATCCCCACAGCTCCGTGATCCCTCATTGAGCCATTACAGTATAGAAGAAATCGATCAGCGAATTGCTACTCGTGTTGCTCTTCTTAAACTAGTAAAGGAGAATAATGCCTTTAACCCGGAGACACTCACTTCCTACGAGCAGGAACTCATCGACTTACTTAGAGCAAGCAAGGAGTCTACGGTGTCCTGTGGAACCTCGATCGACCACGCCCATGGAAGCGGAAAAGACAAATCTGCCTGAAAAGACGACGGAACCCACAGAAACTGTTTCTTCCAGCGAGCCTCAACTAGAAATTACCCAAATCGAGTCATCTACTGAGATAAGTGTAGAAAAGGAGCCTGTTCCTAAAGTTTCCTCTCCCGAAAGACCGAGGAAGAGAAAAAAGAATAGTCGAAAGGCCAGCGGAAACCAGGAGATCATTTCTACCCATCTTGAACCAACACCTGAGAACACTTCATCCAAACCAGAATTGACGGAGCCTTCTACACCGACCAAGAACAATTACCTCCCGAGAAAACTTAAATTTCTCGTGCGAGGCCTTACAGTAGACATCCGAATGGAAGATCTTCGGAAAGATATAGAGGACAATGGTCGACGACCCATCAAGATAGAGCAACTAAGAAATAGGTATGACAACGGATACAAGCTCCTCCCCCTTTTTCTAGTGATTTTCCATGACTTCCCAGAACATCGGGACTTTATTTTCACAAAGAATCTGCTGTCCTTAATTTAACGGAGGGCGTTACGCCATCCAGTGCTACAAGTGCCAAAAATTTGGACACTCACAGAAAGCATGCTCAAGTGATCCAGCCTGCATGAAATGTGCAGAAGCACATTTTACCTACCAGTGCGTGAAACCTCTCTCCCTTCCGGCCAAATGCATCAATTGTCAAGGCGATCACCTGGCCTGTTTTACGGGCTGTGGTGCTCGTCCGAGGCGAAATCATCGCACCTTCACGCGTAGACCACAAGATGCCCCCAGCAGTGCAGTGAAGTTCCTAAGGATCATTAAAGAACTTCAGGAACTTTTGAAAGATGAGAAAATCATCTCATTACTCATCTCCCTGCTCCCAGCCCTAAAGACGTAGATGAGGAGCCTCACCATCAAGCCTGCTACATCTTTCATGATGCCTTTCATTATTTTTTCGCATTTCAGGTTCTTTTCCGAACCACCAATACAACTTTCTTATGTATGTCCCTTTAGGATATTTCATGATGAATGGAATAAGGGCCATTTAGGCCTCAGATGCCCAGTTCTAAAACAACGAACGAACGATATCTATATATATATTTCTCTTACACGGCGACAAAAAAAAGCCTCATTACAACTCCCCGAATGGCAACGCTAGAAAATCGATCAATGATTGCCACTAAAAATGTCAGATGCCAAATCTGCCTGAGATGGCTCAACAGATAGCGCTTTTAAAAACGGAAACGGAAATAACCAGAGAGAGCATAAGCTAGGCAGAAGTGAGTAGTCTTTGCCGATAGATCTCTATTTTAGTATTTTGTCGAAAGCGCTTTTTTTACGAATTTATATATTACGAATTTATTTAACGATTTTTGATTTATATCACGAATTTATTTGTTTTACTAGAATTTATTTGTTTATGCAGGTTTTTCCATTGCAATTCACTTATTTCAATTTTTAATAGACTTAATTATAGCCAAAATTTTAACCTTTGTAAAGAGATATCAGTTTTAGAAATTTTATCTTAAGATTTTATACTATAGCACATTTTTAATAGGTTTAACGAATTACATGTCATTTATTTGAATTCAAATTAATTTTAATGACTTAGTATTTACTAAAAAGATGTAATTTTTTTTTTTTTTTTAAGTTTTTATATGGATTTGAACTCTTAGAATTTTATGCATTCGCAATGGAACTAAGTTAGTGGCGAGCAAAGCGATCCATATAAGATTGCGTAGCAATTTTCGGGGGTTGGTGAGCGTTAGCGAGTAGGGGGCCCAGCTCACTAGTTATATTTTAATACAAAATAAAAAAATGTAGTTCATCTGACATGAAATATGTAGAATTCATTTAAACGAAACTGAAATCCAAAAGTATGAAATGCATTCCATTATTAAAAACCAAACCCAAAAAGAATAAAATCATATTTTACCTGAAATATGTACAGATTACTTTTCCAAAATCCCCATTCGATATCTCGATGAGATCTGTAGCATTTTTCAATCTGAAAGGTTTTAAATGGTTTGATCTCATATCATCTTGAATGAAAAATAATAATGTCATTGCTAATATACTTACCTTGACAGCCAAGTCAGCCAATCGGAGAGCCATTTCATCTGATAAGCAACATGTCTGCTTCTCTTCTTCAGAAACGTCCTCAACGTTTGTCCCAGCTTCATCTTCAAAATCCAGAAAGCAAGTATTTTTTCATGTTAGTTTCTAAGGTTTTAATTTAAACTCTTTGAACATTTAGTGAATTAGATAATTCTAGTAATAAATTAATATTTTTGGAGTAAAAAAATTAAACGCATATTTTATAATTAAATTAGTTTCAAATTGATATAAATATTAAGTCCACTTCCCGATTGCTTCTGAAATTAAGTTTGTTGATCACTCCTTGTGGTCAACTGCTCCTGGAGACAACCTAAAACTTACTTGCGCTTAAAATTTATGTCCATATGAAAAAAGCGACTCACCACACTGCTTGACATTTTATACACGAAACAAACGAAGGAAATTCTTACTACCGCCGTTAATTTACAGCCACCCTTGGGAACTCGAATAAAAATAATTTCAGAAATTTTTATAAAAATTTTACAACAAAGGCAGGTGGTATCATAATTAATTGATAACAAATTTTATTTTAAATTGTCAATTAAAAAAATATATTCATCTGCATACAATAAAATAGCATAATAATAATGTTAGCTCAGGGGAACAAATGTTTTGTTGCATTTATGCAATACCAGAATAGCATAAATCGGGTGTGGGGATTTAATTTTTTTTTTTCGTTTTTCTCCAAAAGCTACTAATTTTTTAACATGATTTTTTAAATCCATTTTTTTTGTCGAACTGTTTAAGTTTAAAAACGTTAAGCAGGGAGTCGCGTAAATTTTGTGACCAACTTCTAGGGGAGGTAATGCGCAGCATCAGGATCAAAATTGCATAGGAACCCATGCCTAGACCCTATTATGATCTGCTCAGAAGATAATGAAGAAACAGTTCATCATAATAGGAGAAACTCCCTTAGCTGCGTAGGATAACATTTCCTGGCATGATTTTTAATGTAATTTTAATCCTGATGATGTGCTTTAACTCATCTATAAATTGGTCGCAACATTTATCTCGTCCTTAAACTTGTACATTTCGACAAAAAATAAACTAAAAGTGTCATTTTAAAAAAACTCTGTAGCATAGAGAGGAAACCAATAGCAGATTTAAAATCAGCGATACGGAAATATCTAAGATATGTTTTAAAAAATCTCATGCTACAAAAAACAAAAAAAAACTGGTCCCCAGTGTAATTAATGACGGTTGATTGACTCTTAATTGTAATTATTTTTACTTTTATTACAATACAATGTAATTCCAATGCAAGTGAATGTTTTGTTATAATGCCACAATTCCTCTTTATGTTTCTTTACTTTTTTTATTTATGTTTCGAACAAAAAAAGGGTATTTTTCAAATAATTTGCCTCTTAAAGGCAACTTGGCACCGATTGTAGTTAGCCGGAACATCGAAATGCCTAATACGCATATTGCACCAGTCTAGTACCCAAAAAGTTCAATTTTCTTCTTAAAATATTATTACCTTGAAGAACTATTCGATGGTCTTTTACACCAATAGTTTTGTTCTTAATTGACAGCTGATCATCAATATCTCGAGCAATTTCTATGGTATCAGGTTCTTCAGATGCAGAAACAACAGACTTCATACAAAGAAAAAAAATACTTAATCATGGATGTTTAGTTTGCATACAAGAAAATTATCATTGTTAGACAGTGAAAAGACGCAAAATTAAATTTTAAAAAAAAGGATAATTCAAGATTAATAAAAGTGGATACTTTCATATTTAAGCTATCTGTTTCATTTCAAAAGGTAGCATCAGGATAAAATCAAACAGTAGCTGTGGAATTTTTATTTCACATCAAATATTCCCTACTTTTATTTCATCAAGAACTGGTACAAAAATTTGTCCCTGACGTCCGCACAAAACATTTTTAGTTTTGTGCGGATAAGTAACAGTAAGGACAGATAATACAGAGAAGGAAAGAACATCCATGCCTTGCCCGGGATTCGAATACAGAACCTTTCTGGTGCAAGGACAGTTCCCTGCCCCCTACACACGCCGGTCGGCTTCTTTATGCAACGTTTGCATCGAACAAACAAAACAAGAGTATAAAACGAAACTAATTTCATTTTTCAGTACCATTATAATTAAACAAGCATTCTTATATAAATATTTCAATCCTATGGAATGAGTTCAAAATTGCTGATATTTAAACTAAAAAAAGGTTATCAACTTCCAACGCTCATTTTGATCTATGCGAACTTGGATAAAAATAATATAACATCATTTCTAAAAGCCTCAAGCACGATCTTTCAAATTGTGCCAACAGTTTTGCCATGTAAACTCATCGCTAAAAGAAAGATAGTTCACATAGAGTTAGCACAGAAGTGTTTCAATTATTTTGATTAAAGCCGGTAAATAATGTAACTTTTATAAGTTAAGGATTTTTTTAAGGGAAGGAGATACCAAATCATAACTTTATTACTGGTATGTTAGGAAAATTACTTGCGAATTATGAAATTTTAAAGAAAAAATTTCCGAAGATATAGTAAAATATGAACTGTTTTAATGAAAAGGAAATAAAATACTTTTGCAATCTTAGAATTCTATTTCATAAAAATTATAAATACCTTTAAAGAAAAAGAGAAAGAAAGTAACAATTAAAAGAGAAACAGAGAAAAAAATTAACAATTAAAAGAGAAATAGATAAGAAAAGTAGAAATTTAAAAGGAGAAATAGAGAAAGAAAGACAAATAGGGTAAGAAAATAATAATCGAAAATGAGAAACTCTTAAATTTTACCTCGCCAAGACCATAATTCGCGGTTATATTCATCACTGTTGGGTTTCCAGTAAGAGGATCACAGGTAAACAGAACCCCAGCCACATCACATGGTATCATTTTTTGTATCACAACGGCCATTGGTGAGTTGAGAATTTGACCATTCTGTCTGAAAATTATTTACTTCGTTAGCTCTAACTGCCAATTTAGTTAGCAATTTCTGTACATACCAATTACAAAATTAATTGCTTCATTAGCACTAACTGCCTTTTTAATTAGCCATTTTTCCATACCAATTTAAAAAATAATTACTCCATCAGCACTAAATGTATCTTTAATAAACATTTCTATTTTTAAAAAAATTAACTATTGCATTAGTCCCTTTAATAAGTCGGTTTCTTTCTGTACACTTCTATTTGAAAAATAATTACTTCATTAACGTTAAAGGTAGACGTCTCTTTAATAAACCATTCAAAAAATTAAAATATGGGATAAAAATGTTCGTTATGTTCATAATGGTTCATTATGTAAATAAAATTCATTGTGACATTATTCAGAATGTCTACCGTCTCCACAAAAATCTCTTTCAGATAATCACTTCTTTTTAAAAAAAACTAATTCCTCGCTATCAGATTAGTTGGTAAAATTTAGTTAACTCAAAAATCCGCAATAATCTTCGAATTTATAATTAAGATCACGAAAACTTTCATAGACATCCTGGTTATTAGTATTCGTGTAAAAACGAATACGTTAGAACAAAGCGAATATTTTTCCAATTTCGGACTCTAATTTCCCAGAAAAAAATTTAAAAATTGCTGTAAAAATCGTAATAAAACATTTGAAAGCCTGTCTCTTAGGGTTAAAAAAAATAGGTCAACATTTACCTCTATATTAAATTTCATAGCAACAAGTGGCCTCATTTATTTTCAGTGCATCATACATCAGATTAAAAGCTCAAATCTTGTTATTTAGACTGCTGTTGTTATTTAAATAATGTTGTTGTTTTCATGGAATTTCTTTGATTTTGATGATTTTCATCTTGGATGAAAAATCTGCCTAATTGGCATTTTTTAAAATTTAAAAAAAATTATAAAAGCACTGGTTAATCATTTTGAGGCTTTGATAATTTTCTTCTAGGTGAAAAAATCTGCCTACCAAAGCACTTTTTAAAATAAAAAAAGAAGTTTAGTAAAAGCACAGGTAATCCTTTACGCAAAATAGTATAGTTTAAAATTAACAGCTTCACGTCAAGTGAAGGGAAACTTTTCGAAAACTCAGGCATCACATGAAATAATGCTTTTTGCGAATAATTTATTGTTTTCATAACTACGGTGAGTTATTTGTAATAGTTAATCACGACTGTTAGGTCATCAAGTTTACGGCATTAATTTTGACAATTCTAGGACAAAAATGTTTCCTAATTGGCGATTTTTAAAAAAGTGTAATAACTTTAAAAATATTTAAGTTACTTGTCCATTCTAAAGCCCAAATAATTCTTCGCGGCAAGATAACATATATAATTAAAAAGCTTTGCTCCAAGCTTTATGCAATTAAACTGTCACTTTTTTTTATTTTCCTTGATTCAGAGGACTTTGAAAAACACTATCAAGAGAACACATTATTAAGATAGAATACAAACATTTTTGCAAACTTTACCTACCTTTTATACTGCACAGCTATATGACTAAACTGAGAGGCCCAGCACTTTTTAATTGCTGATAAAATCTATAAAAAAAGTTATGTCAATAATCAATTTTAAAGCACAGGTGCCAAATATTCATGTTTTGCAGTTTTTTTCTGAAGGCTATCAAAATTTATGTTTCAATATAATATGTCTTTTGGTATTATTAATTTGAACTACAAGGGTTTTGAGTCAACGGCCGTGACAATGAAGTTAAGTAGAGGAGACATCAAATTCAGATTTAATTTTAAGTAATTTTCTTTTTCTTATTTTTGCATCAAATTATCATACTCATATGTGGCAGTTATCTTAGCCTCAGCCCTGCGAGATGCTCTAACTAATTCATCTGAGTTTGAATGTATGATAAATCGCCGAAGTGCAATTGAATGATGATAGTTGGGGTTCAGTAACATTTACTGAGAGAAAATTAAAATAAAGTACCGAGATTAAACAAACAAATTTAAGAGAGAGAAGAGGTTTTTCTGGCAGACTGCCTCTTCTCCCCCCGAGGTAAAAGAAAAATTCATACTTGAACTATCTATGTAATACCAATTATTTCCGTAAATGCATGATTTCAAAAATTAAAAATTATGAACTGGCAATAATGGGTTAATTGCATTCTAATATACAAAGAGTAAAAAGTGAACTTTATTGCCTTATCGGCACAATCAAAATAATATAAAAGGTAAAATGTTTTTAAGAAAGTTTGTGATTCACAATAAAGAGGCAAGTTAAAAATTTAGTTCAACAAAATTTGAGTAGAGTTTACCAGCAAAGTGAGTAGAAGGCCATGACTTTATTTAGAGCAATTAAAATTCAATAAGCTCTCTCGTATTCAAAGTGTTTTTCAAAATTTAAAAAAGAAAAAACACACACTTTTGCAATACAGCATTTGTAGCATTATAAATTACGGTACCTGATTAATGCCTGAAACTCCTAAGAAAGTATCCATCTGCCCTGCTGCTGACATTTGTTCTGTATCTTCACCTGAGTCAAAAAAAATTTTTTACTCAGTACTTTAGTTGTTAAGCCCAAATGATAAAACAATTTCTCTGTTATAAAACAGTAGAGGTAATAAAATTAAACTACGCGTTCACATGTTTAATAAAAAAATTTATAAAGTGTGACCAAAAAGTATGGTATCGGTCAAATATCTCAAGAAATCCGAATCAAATCAAAAATTTAAGAATTAAGGAAGGAAAAATTTTCAAAAGTTTAGATGATACCAAAATGCATTAAATGATATCAAACTTCGTCCCTCACATCACTAACTGGTAGTGGGGTGAGGGACCAATTTTAAGATCTTACCTGTTGCAGATTTGGATTCTTTAGAAAAAAGTGCCCCACTTTATCTTACAAGTGTTTGCTTTTAGATTGCAAGAAGGAAACGAGATGCAAATCGTTTAAAATGGAGAGGAGAAATACATATCTGATAGAAAATATTTTGTAAAAATTAGTTTTGGGAAAGTGTATTTTGTGACTCTCTGAGGCTGGGACAAATTCCCAGGCTATGTTTAAGGTTTACAAATTTGAGCAAACGATATAAGTTTCCTGTTCTTTTACGAGAGAGGGAGAATGCTCTCTACATGAGCTGCACATATACGATTCGCGCATACACGAGCAGTTTGTCTTAGTTTTTGTATTCGCACATACCTTTAGGGCATTGGAATGCAATGTGAATGGCTCTAAAGGGGGAGCACATAAGAGTAAGAAAACACTGGTATGTCGGTTAACCATTACCTTTGACAGGGTTGATATGGTCTGGAAAAACTAGAAAAGGTGTTGATAACTTAAAAGTTATAGAAAATAAAAGAATTTTAGGCGATTCTTATAAACTAAATGTGTTTGAATAACTTCAAATATGCTTTATTCTATAACGAAAATATATCTCTTTGAAACCTTTCTCCCACCAAACCCCTAAACCTTGAAGTGATACCTTACAAAAGGAGTCTTCTACTTATATTAAGGTTTATTTACTATATTAATTTTTTTCTGAGAGCTATGAGAATCCCAGTGCAAGTAGCTTTCATAAAAATTAAAACTTCAAAATATTTTTTTAAATAAAAGAGCTGATTGATACAGAATGGTGCACTACCTGTCGCAGAGGAGCGAACAGCAAACTTGAGGATGTCTTTGTCAGGAAATACTTTTTGAAGTGAGGTTACAATAGAATGAAGAACTTGGTCAGGAATGTTTGATTTCACGACTTCTTCCATCACTCTAAATAGGACAAAAACCAGGAATGAAAAAAATAAAAATAAAAAACTGGTTGTGAAACCATTTCTCTTATAGCTTGTTTTAGTAAGAAGTGAAACATCAGTGCCACTTTTACGATTTCTTTTAGAAAGGAGTGAAATATCAGTGCCACTTTTATTGATTGTTTTAGGAGGGAATGAAACTTCAGTGCCACTTTTACAGTTTGTTTTAGGAAGAAATGAAACCTCAGTGCCACTTTAGTTTGTTTTAGGAAGGAATGAAACCTCAGTGCCACTTTTATTGATTGTTTTAGGAGAGAATAAAACCTCAGTGCCACGTTTTTAGTTTATTTTAGGAAGGAGTGAAACTTCAGTGCCACTTTTACAGTTCGTTTTTATAAAGGAGGGAAACCTCAGTGCCACTTTCACAGCTTGTTTCAGGAAGAAATGAAACCTCAGTGCCACTTTTTTAGCATGTTTCAGGAAAGAGTGAAACTTTAGTGCCACTTTTTTTACTTGTTTTAAGAAGAAGTGAAAACTCAGTGGCGCTTTTATTGCTTGTTTTAAAAAGCACTCATACTCGCTGCTACTTTTATAGCTTGTTTAAGGGAGCATGAAGCATCCGTGCAAAACGCAAATTATTAGCAATTATAACATCAGACTTGCTAAAGTTTGAAAGAAATTCAAAAATGATAGTTGACACATTTAGAAGAATCAGAATAATAGCGCATTTATATTTCCCAACGAATATCTGCAAAGTAAGAAAAATGCATCCAGAGGAGAAAACAGGCTATCTCAATTGCTAAAATTAAATAAAAATTTCGATAAGCAGCATGAAATATTTGTCACCACTTTATATATAACGTCACCAATCCACAGAAACCTAGCTCGACAAACTCTTTAAAGCGGTACCTAACTAACTTTTTAACCCTTTCGCGCCGACTGTCACAAATATGTGACAGCATAAAACCGTGTCAACCAGGGTAAAAATATAAAACTGGTAACCAAAGTTATTCTTTAACAGTTTATTTGTGGGCGGAGTTATAATTGTTTGATTTATTTAATTCACCATTACTTTGTTCAAAATAAAACTAGTTATACTTTGAATTAACATTGATTTTATATATGATTAAGCTAACAATAATTAAAGTAAAAACAAAGTAAGTCTGTCAAATCAGCAACGACTACATTTAAGTTACCGTTTTTTATTTAATTACAACTTGATTCTGATTTTGTACGAATGCATTTCTGAATCACCCGTCCCCAAGGGGTTAATGGAAACTTTTTACTTTTGTCCTCACTTAAAAACTTCTCTACTCAATTGATATGCTGTATAAATATGTTTAAGTTGGCAAGCATCTACAGAGGTTGGGGAAAAATAAGTAACACTTCAAAACTAACGCAATGTAAACAATTATTTTATTATTTGGCTACAAATGTTCTAGAAGGCTTAACATGGGAAAAAAACTCTTGGCATAATTTGAAAGTTAATACTTGAAACTTTTAAATGATGTCACTTACCCATGCAAAATTCGACCGGAATAAATTGAAGAGTAGAAGTTAATAACTTTTTCCTTGCTTTAATACCAGCAGTTTTGAAATCATTTTAAAGGATTGCAATATTTATATGATGTTTTCTTTCTAATTATAATAGTGTTGAAGAAAAAAGTGTGTTCCTACAGTGTGTTCCACTTCCTACCCAGTAGATGTAAATTTTGCATGGGTTCAAACAATGCCCTAACTAAAAGCTCAAAACATCATCTTTTAAATTGTGTCAACAGTTCTGCCATATAAAACCTTCTAAAACATTTACTGTTAAAAGAAATATTCTTAAAGAGCATCTACATTCGGGTATCATATTCATAAATAAATATTTAAAAGGAGGTCGTAAATTTTATGGGCTTTAATTTCACGTCAATTTTCAAAATTTAGTGAATCGACACTATTATAAACTTATATAACTTACAAACATTTTCTCTTCTCTTTTTAAAAAATTTTTCTGTATACCTTGTTTCTGTAAAATTAATCCTAGCAATGAAACACTTCTGCTACCACTTTTTTCCTTTTGAAAAAGTAACGCCTCCTTTAATTAAAAACCTCCACACAGTTTCTTATAAATAGTTTGATTAGACCACTCGGAAGATAAACCTGCTTACGAAAGAGTCATTTAATACAAAATCTAGTAAAATTAAAAAAGTGGTAACAAATGTATCTCTAAAAAATTTTTTAATTTATGAATGTGATTGGTTTGTTTAAGTTACTTGCCAACCACCACAAATTTAATTCTCAAATATATATGATAAATTACTCTCGGCTACTTTAAAAAAAATCACAGATTAAGCTCATATTTCATGTATATCCATCTAATCATGGCTGTATTCATTTTTCAATGGCAATTAACGTAAATCTCCGATCAAGTTTGTACATACTTCTAATCATGATTACTTTATTATAATGTTACCACATTGTTACTTTTAAAAAACAAAGAGCTTGAAACATTCATAAAAGCAACTCCACTGCATGCTTACCTCAATGCTCAACCAAAACAGTGTTAGAATTCCAGATGAATGGGATAGGGATCGCTTCGCGGCCCAAGTGCCCAATAAAATCAAAACACTAGGACTAGGACTTTTAAAAAACTCTCCCAATTGGTTTAAAACGTTTACTTTATCTACAATGCTTAAAGCCTATCCTTACATATACCTGCCCCGCTATGGGAAACATTATTAACAACTCTCAGATTAATAAACATGAGATTGTCCAAAACAAAATACTACGACGCATCACTGGTGCTCCTCGCTATCTCCCAAACATAAATATAAAAAAATGACCTAAAAATTGAACCAGTTATCAACTATATTAACAGACTAAATGCTAGTTTCTATAGTAAATCAAAAAAAGCAGACACACGTGGCTTTAATATCCTATTAAACAAAGAACTCATAGCTGATATGAAATGCCACAACCCCATAACTTCATTTATGTTATCTGGTTGCATATTATCCAAGTATTATAAATAGTCACCCCCATTCATTGTATATATGGATACTCGCAGAGAGAGGAAATGACCAGAAGGGTGATCCACGATTCGCGAGTATTCCACCCCTATCTTTATACTTAATTTTTATATTCTATATTTAATTATGTTAGTTAGGATTTCCTTGCAATATTTTACTGCATCGAACCATTCTTATCCCGCTTATTACAGATCAGATCTGTATATGACTCCTTTGAACCAGAGAAAGGACCAAAGGTGATCTCTTGGATCGGGAGTGGTATACGCCACCCTATATATTAGGACTATCACTTTCAGTATAAACTGATTTGTGACTTCCGCTCATGAGTTTTCGCTCACCATCAACTCCTCTCAACTCATAGTCAACAATATAGACGCCCTCGGGTACAAACATAGATGAAAGAGTCAATTGTCCGCTTCGCAGACAAGCACTCTGTAAGCAACACCAGTTCAAGTTTTTACTTATAAAAAAGAATTCGAATTCATGCCCGCAACTGGTTTATTTTTTAAATAATCTGCATAGACTATTTTTAAAGAACAGTGTGGAGGCTTTCTGATGTAGGAGGTAATGGCTAGGCACAGGTGGAATAGATGTTACTAGAGAAAAAGTGAATTGGTCCCACAGTGTTCTTTTTTTAGACAATCTCAAATTAAAGAGAATGAATAATGAGTTCCAATACCTTTGAGAAGTTTGTTGCACATCTCCAGCAGTTCTTTCACTAGAATTAAACAAATATTATTTATTTTATTTTTATACAATATATTCTTTGTGTGCAATGATATTTAGCATGATTTTTTTTCCCATTCAATGTTATTCTTTTAGACATATATCACCTCCAACATCAGAAAGCCTCCACACGGTTTTTCATGAGTGATCTGCGCAAACTATTTAAAAAGTGAACCTATATGCGCAAAAACCCAAATTCTCTTTTAAAAGTCATTGCGATAAATTTATCACATATATTTGACAATTTAATCTGTGGTGGTTGACAAGTAAACAAAACAAACCAATCATATTCATGAATTAATCAAGTTTTTAGACATACATTTGCTACCACTTTCTTATTTTTACTATATTTTGTATTTAATGGCACTTTCGTAAACTAAACTACCTTCATAGTGGTCTGCTCGGACTGCCTGTAAGAAACCGTGTAGAGGCTTTCAGTTACAGGAGACGTTGATTCATAAGCGCCTGGAAAAATTTAAAAAGTGGTAAAGCTATCAATATAATTTTTTATTTTAACTAAAAAAAACTTAAAATCTGTTACCAATGGAAAATATTTTTTACAAAGCACAGCAAGTTGGCATCTCTTTATCTATATTTTTTTTTACCTTTTCATATCTATTTATACTGTTTATCGGTATCAGAGGATAAAATTCTTTAAATTTTAATTTACAAAAATATTAAAACATTACATTTGCTGCCACTTGGAAAATTACATTCTGAAACCACGAAAATTCCGTATTAGCTTAAGGATTTAAGATATTCACATAACATGGAAAAATAAGTGCAAGAAATGCCAGTGCACTAATGCAAAATAAATAAATAAAAAAAAACAGAAAGAAAAATAAGATATTTACTAAAGCACGTCTTCTAATAATTGTATTTCGTTCTTGACTTCTTCTGTGATGAACAATTCATAAGCAGCAGTTGTAACTACAACTCCATTTGGAACAATAAACTAAATTTAAAAGAATCGATTAATTTTGTAATATGAAACAAATTTCAAATAACTTTAGTTTAACATTTTTAGGTAACATAAATGTAAAAAATAAGAAACTAGGCTTTATTCATGGTGCAGAGATGCCAGCTTGCTCCAGATCCATTTTAGTAACGATCATAATATTTAAAAAATTAAAAGCATTAAACGTTTACTCGAATTATGTGTTTCTAATAATCTTGGTTTCGCCAGTCACCGGTGACCCCCGTGGCGCTACGAACAAGCTGAAAAAATATTCGAGATGCAGAAAGTAGATTCATATTTTATTTAGGTTTCTTTGATAGGATAGGCATAAAACTTTAGTAATTACCATGCATTATTAATAATAACACGAAACGAATGTGTGGGTCATTGCTCTGGGATATTATTTCTAATAATAAAATGATTTCTTAGATTGAAATTTGTGTTTCATAATAAGTTGATTTATTGAACAAAAGGAGTGTTGTTTTTCTTTTATTACCAACTTGGAAATATACATAAAAAAAATAATAAAAAAAGATAGAGAAAAGAAGAGAAAAAGAGAAAACAAAGGCACTGTTATCCTACTTTTGCATAAAGAATGTAATTCATTGTATTCAATGCCTAGATAAGTATATTATTTACAATATAAAAGCAGGAGCTGAGGTGGCTCAGGTAAACGAGTATACACATCCCAATGATGTGACCTAGGCTCGATCGCAGAGCTCGCTGGTTGAAAAGAATCCTGCACAAAGTTTACTACATGTTCTAATATAATTATATATTTTTTGTTCATTATGTCAAGTAATTTCTGTCAAAACTATGGTGACGTCATGGCATGACGTCATCAAAGTAATAGTTTAACTATCTGAATCCACGTAACTATTTTCTGTACGCTTTTGAAAAGCACTTTCATGAACACTAAAGAAAAGTTGAAAACTCAACGATGATTGAAATGAAAGAAATTAATTATATACTTAATTAAATTAAAAATAAATTTAATTACAAATTAATCAAATGTAATTAGTTAATAATTAATTGTTTCTGCTGTAGTTGTTGTTACTTATGCCACTTTCCAAAATCAGCAAGTATGCTATTGAAATCAAGCTAATTTTTTGAAAATAAAAGGGTGCGTTTCTTCTTTTTCCTGTTGCACAATCTATGGCCAAGAATACTACTTGAACCATGCACACTTCATAGTCCATTCATTCATCCACAGGTTGTAATTTTGACTTGAACCAGAGAACGATCAGTTTCCAATTCAGTAACCCCAGAAATATTGATTTCTTATGAGAACTTGGAGGACTTTGTGACCACGAAAGATTTCACGAGTACCTGTCACCATTTAATGCACGAGGATTCTTCAACAGGCATGATTCTAGCTCATGTTCTCACGAACACGAGCCAAACGTCGTACCTCCCAGGCTATCCCAGCCGAAATTAATTGGGATTATTTAATGGAGGTATGGTCCAAATCAGAGCAGATCTAGTTCAGTGCTTCACTATCATTTAATAAATTTTCGTTTGCCTTATTCTTATTGGATGATTCCTATCCTAATACAAACGTATTCCTACTGATTGCATCTGTAACTGTTGATTAAAGACGGATTATAAGTGGACAGGTAAATGAAGTGACTTCAGCTTAGGCATCTCTATTTTTGGGTCAGGTTAGCTCATTGATAGACATACGAGATCTCAAATTAAATTTCTAAAGTTATCTGAAACTAAAGTATTTATTTTATTTATAATTGCGTTTTAGAAACTTGTTCCTCTAAAACTAAAAAATTGAAAGTCATTTGTAGTTGAAATAAATAAATAAAAAATATTAAGCTATGTACTTAAAAGCAAAACTATGGAAAATTTGTGGTAGATTTTGACTATCACGGGTTACGCGCCAATCATTGTCGGTACCGAATAAAACTGAGTATAAATTTAAGTTTGATGAGTTAAACTTCTAAAAACGTTTTTTGCCTAATCTAATAACGTAAAGCCACTGAAAAAGACAACAAATAATTATAAATTTACACAGTTAATGCACACGCCTTTCAAATTGCATGATTTTGTAACATTGATTCTTGCAGATTTATTGATTATTCGCTTTTTCTTACTTTCCACTACGAAAAGATATTCCACTAGTAATTCCCACGTCTCATAGTTTTGCTTAAACAAGCTATATCGTACAGTTCGTACATTTCTTCAGAGGTTGAACAAAATTATGAAAACACTTCAATACTAACTCTAAGTAAGCAATCTCTCTTTTAGTAGCAAAATTTTTCGAAAATTTAACATAGCAAAACTGTTAGCACAATTTGAAAGATTTTACTTGAAGCTTTTTGAAATGGTGTCCTTTTTATCCATGCAAAATTCGGATCGATCAAAATGAGTGCAGGAATTTAAAAGTCTCCTTCCTTTTTTAAACCACTATAATTGAAAAGACATTCTAATATAAAAATCGCAATCCTCTATTAAAAATTCCTCTTTTCAAAATTGCTTATATTGAAGCTAAAAAAGCTTATGAACTTCATCTCCTTAATTTGGTCGATCTTTGTTTTACATGGGAAAAAAGACATCATTTCTGAATTCAAATCATGATCTTTCAATCAGTTTTGCCATGTAAAAACTTCCAAAATATTTGCTTCTGAAATAAGTCATGTTCGCATGTCTAGAAGTATTTCCATAATTTTGTCCAAACCTTGCATATATTCATTAAATTGACTCACATTTTTCAAATCTTTACTGAGCTCGGTTAACATTCCCAAAGAAGATCCCTTTCCTCCTGTTAAACTAGGATCTTGGCATACCTTCTCGGTGAAACTTGTCACCAATGGTTTAGCTGCAGAAATAGAAAGATGTTTAAATTAATTGTAATCCATTATTTACAAGCAAGTAACAAGAGCCACAAAAAAAGAAAATATCCTTTATTTTTAATTCCTAGCAATACTCTTGACAGAAAACATTGTATCCTGTCTTTATATGCCTAATCAACATTATCTTGAGCAAAGATAATGCGAACTTTTTCGCTTCTTAAGTACCGTGTGTATATTATCTACAAT